ATAAAATATAAATTGTACTATATATATTATATATGTGTATATATAATAGACAACTCAACCATGTCCAAAAAACAAAGAAAAAAATGTTTGTTCCCTAATGCAAATTTTTAAAAATTTTCCTTCCAAAAAGTAAATAAAACTTTTCCTTCAAAATTCCTTATTGCAAATGAATTTCCATTACTCCAGTTGCTTCCATTACTCCAGTTCCAGTACTCCATTACTCCACTATGTTCTAGGTACTGAGTTATTTTCCACATAACAAACAGTCCTCAAAAAGAGTGTTGATATTTCTTAGAAAATGGAGGCACATTTAAGTAAGGTCAGAAAGTTACGGAGTGAGTCTATCAGTCAAACTCAAGTGTCTTGATTCTAAAAGTATTTTGTTCTTTTCAATTTTAGGGAAAAATTCATTCTTGACTCTATTTTTCCTCTCCCATCCAAGCCACTGACCTTTCTTTCCTGGACCATGTTAATAAGCTACTCATTGATAACTCCAATACCATCCTTGCCTCTTAACAACCCATTCTACATGGAAGTCAAAGTGATTGATAGGCTTAAAAGTCTTCAAAAGTTTATAACTACAGTCTGTATAAAAATGAATGTGTGCATCATGGTATACAAATCCTTACATTATTCAGTTCTTCCTTGCTGTTTCTTTTACCTTCCTTCCATGTCTTTCACCACACTCATTCAGTTGTTGCTGTAACCATCTCCTAAGAGGGAGATGGCTACCAGTTTCAACTGCTGACTTTTTTTTTTTTTTTACGTTTTTGGTCCTGATTTACATGCACTGTCCTTGTTGGTTGATCAATGACACTCTTATCATTGGTATGTTTCTTATTCCTTCATTGCCTTTAGGTCTATGGCTAAATGTCATCTCTTCTCTGAGATAATTTTTGCAACCACCCTCTATAATAAGTATAGATGCCTGTAATCTTTTTATTGTTCTTTTATTTTTCCTCAAAATATTTATAAATATAACACATTTACTTGATAGGTATTCTCCCACCACCCTTATGAAGTGGCAGAACTTGGAAGGCAAGAACTCTTTTCACAGATAGATTATCTCAACATGGGTCAGCCAATAGTAAGTACTTAATAAATATTATTGAATAAATGAATGCTTGAGGAATAGACAGGTTATTATTATTGGAATCTTTCAAACATTCCTACCGCCTAGTTATTTCTTGGAAATACCCTTTTTCCAATGTTTCTATTACCAAGTTCATTCTCAGAACCTCTCAGATGTACTATCACAGTGGCATTCTAACTGGTTTCTCAGTCATCTTTGGCTTGTAAATTCCATCTTCACATTTGACAAATTGATAAATGAATGGGTTAAAAAAAATCAAAGAATTTCTGCAAAGAAATCCTATCAAAATGTTAGCCATTTACTAATAAAATCCTTCCCATAGTTAATATACTATATAGCTGTTAATATGTGAGATTTCTATTTCTATTTTTTTTTCATGATGGGGCTACTATGAAAGCTTCTAGTCTGTTCACTTTATGATATGTTGAACTCTTTCCTTCTGTGCTAACAAGATGCAAAATATAACTGCTTGTTTCAAGGCAACTTCATGTTGTTTATCTTTACTTCCATTCATCTTTCTACTACAATTTTCCACTCAACTCACAGGTGTCAAATCATATTGCTTCTAAGGATAATCTTTCCACATTTCACTTATTCTCAATAACTAAAATGACATGTATTGAACAACACTATGTTGTAGGTACGGAGTTATTTTCCACATAACAAACAGTCCTCAAAAAGAGTGTTGATGTTTCTTAGAAAATGGAGGAACAGGTAAGTAAGGTCAGAAAGTTACAGAGTATGAGTCTATCAGTCAAACTCAAGTGTCTTGATGCTAAAAGTATTTTGTTCTTTTCAATATACAGCATAATTCTATAAAATTTGCTCCACATTGTAGCATTTATTTTGTTCTTTATTTTATTCAGTATTCATAGCAACACAGAGTAGCTAGAGGTTTTAAAATGAACTTCAGCTTCTCAGAGATGTAGCTAAATATTTATATTAGCTTATAAAATTCCTGTCATAAAGATGTAAAAATTGCTCTTAAAAGAAAAACTATGAATTCTTTAGTAAAGAAGAGCAATAGGAAAGACTCATTATGCACAGGATATTAAAGTAAACACCTAAAAGAACAAGAGAAATTATAGTGATTTCTTTATAAAATGCTAAAGACATTCTGGCTGTCACAAAAATATGTTGTGACATTTGTTTTCAATCCAATCTGCGACTCCATGGCAGTCATTTAGCATGGCTGGGAAATCCCCTTGGAAACAAAAAGGCAAATGAGATTTTCATTTTAATATTGCTCAGGAGTAACCAAAATTAGATTGCTAATTATAGAATCACTAATTAGAAATACAGCATCTCTATACATAAAACATGGGGTTTTTGTAAAAGAAAAGCAAGGCATATTTTTATTTAGAGATAAGTATTATGTAGAATATGATCTTAAGTGCTATTTTCTAATTTCTCTAAAGCCACACAGAATCGTTAGAAAAAAAGGATTGCAAAGTGTTATTTGGCTTAAGCTATTTTGCTGTTTGTGGAAGAAGCACTAGCTCTCTGCATATTGAAAAGTCCTCTCCCTTGGTGGAAATCATTTAAATCCCTGAAAAAAGTACATTTCAATTTTGGGGTTTTTATAATTAGCTTTGCATTACGTACACCTTTTCAGTAATCAAATCCTAACTTGTGTTACAGAACATCAATTTGTTTAGAAAGCATTGTTTATAGCGAATATATCCCTTTGGACACTGCATAACTTGAACAACATACCCAAACAGGCAAGAGTAGTCTGTAGGGAAATTTAAAGCTTTATTATTCTTAGAACCATGACATTATAACACCATGCTTTGTGCAATACTGATTTATAATTTATGTTATCTCTGACTTTTTTTTAAAGCTTTAATTGAGAGTGAACTCTTGGGATAATGTTTAACTTATTTTAGATGTGTATTAAAATGCTCAGGTGCAGCATTTACAAAGAATTTTGTAATTGTGCCTTCAGCTATATTAAGTATTAATTCTTAATCTATGTGTTTACTTTCAGAAATGCATATTCCATATGCAAAGACTTTATCTAAAATTGCAAAATAAATAAGTAAAAATGAATAGATACATTAGCAATATTCCAAACTATCAACCACAAGAAACTCTTACTTCAATGTCATTTCAGAGAGGGCACTTATTGGAAGATTATGAAAAAAAAAAATACTAGCTAAAACTTTAAATATAAAATATAGCTCTAGGAGGAGCTGTGTGTTCACGTAGGAGAGGATAGGGAGTTAGCTTCTTTTCATTATTATTTAATAAGGAAAATAAATAAATCACAATGAGTTGAAAAAAATTGGTTTCTTCATTTTATCTGTAAAAAGTATTTAAGTTGCCATCCTTATAGCTTAGGAAAACAAAGAGTATAGGAAGAGTGGTAAAATATATAGATTTTTACTACAATTATATTGTATTACTATTGTGATTTATATTCAATCATACTATAGTGTAAATAGATTTGATTTTCCCCTAGCAGGAAAAAGATCCTGAGGTTAGTTATCTGAGGATCTAGATCTTTTTATTTATTTTTTCGTTTTAATTTTTACTATATTTGATTTTACTTTATCCTTTCCCAACACACATTATGTGCTCTAATTTTTAATCCAATGACACAAGCATAGTTATCAAAAGAATACATTTAAAAGCATGTTTGATAGTTTATGATTAACTGACATGATCACACACCTCTGACATTCTATCATCAGTAAGATCTTCATTTGCTAATTGACTGAAACAGAAGAAATGGTGCACCCAGTTGATAAATAAGGAAATTTTTTAGCTTTTTGTAGGTAAAGGTCATAAAATCATTTTTTAAAGAAACATTAAGGGTGTGTATAAATCTGGGGCTCTATTATAAACTGTGAATGCATTTTGCAAATGTAGTGCAGTTTCAGTATCTTAAAGAATCGGTTTCTTGTTTCTTTTTGTGTGTGTTTAGTTTTGTATGGTGAGTAACAGACCTAAGTGAGTGCATTTTGGATACAGGATTTTATGACTTCAAATATTTTCTTCTTATCTTAAGTAACACATAATTGAAGGGTATCATTTTGAAAAATGCTAAAATAATTTGGTTCTAATTAAAGTATCAATCCACTTCCATTAATTTCATTATTTCACCCATCAACGTGGATACACTAAATACTATCTCTAATATACTGTGCAAAGAATTGACTACAGTTCAGTGAACCAGACAGAATTTATTTCTGCCCTCGTAAGTCCTACGCTCTGTTGAGACAAGCAGGAACAAAGAATTAACACACAATTACTTGGTTTTGGTGATTGTATTAAGTGCTGCAATGGAGAAGTATGTAGTGCCATAAACATTTATTAAACAGAGACCTGACTGGCTCACTAAATCAAGGGATGGTTTACTGATGAATACGTAATAAGTGACCTAAATTACAGCAATTCCGCCTTATCTGCAGGGAATATGTTCCCATGCCCCCAGTCACCCGAAAGTGCAGATAGTGCCAAATCCTAAATATACTCTTTTTTCTGTACATACATATCTATGATAAAAATTAATTTATAAACCGGGCACAGTAAGAGATTAACAGTAATAGCTAATAATAAAATAGAACAATTATAACCGCATATTGTAATAAAAGTTGTGTGAATCTGGTCTCTCTGCCTCTCTGTCTCTCACTTAAAATATCTTACTGTACTGTACTCACCCTTCTGGGATGATGTGCGATGATAAAACACCTACAAGACGAGATAAAGTGACGTAAATGACGGACGCGCAGTGACGCAACTTTAGGCTATTGTTGACCTTCTGATGATTCGTCAGAAGGAGAATCTGCAGCATCTGAATCTCCAGTGACTGTGGGTAAGGAAACTGCCAAAGCGAAAGCACAGGTAAGGGAGGACGACTACTGTCAGCAGATCTACGAGGCTGACGGGAAGTGCTGGTAGGTGTAGCAGGAGAATGATGGTTCCCCAAAGACGCCTCCGCCTAATCCTTGGGGCCTCTGAATATATTATTTTATAGGGCAAATGTTCTCAGCTGTGATTAAGGTTCTTGAGATGATGGGAAGATTATACCAGACAGAGTATCCGAATTGGATTAACGAAATTACAAATATATTTATAAATAAGAGAGAGAAAAAAAAAGAGAAGGAGATATTGTAATAGCACCACAGTTCAGAATCCGAGAGATTTTTTAAGATGCTGCTCTGCCCGCGTTGAAGATGCATGAAGGGTTCGCAGCTCAAGGAATTCAGCTGAGGTGACCTTGAGAAGCTGGAACATGGAAGTAAGTGAATTCTCCCCAAAAGCCTCGAGGGTGAAGGCAACCCTGTCAACACTTTAATTTTAGCCCAATAAGACCTTATTTTAAATTAATAAATGTGTGCTGTTTTAAGTCACTACTTATACACTAGTTCCTGTTATATAGCCAACAGGAAACCAAATACAGCAAAAATACAGAACACATAAACCCCAAGGCAGGAGTAACTATGGCATGTGCATGTAAATAGAGTTTCCCTCTGAAGAAATAGAGGAACTATTTAAAGAATTTTCTAATCATATCCTTATAAATCGTCATTTTCTTAAATCTCCCTGAATCTCGTAAGATTCTCAGATATGCCCTCTATCTATCAAATGCCAATAATTTCAGCACAAATGGTTTATTGGTTTGCTAGGGCTTCTATATTAAATACCATAGATTAAGTGGATTAAAAAAAATTTTTATTTTTTCAAAATTCTTTAAGCTAGAAGTCCCAGATCAAGGTGCCAGCAGAACTGTTTTTTCTGGGGAAATCTGGCCAGTATTTAAGATGGTCTCTTTTCCTGTTGTTCCCTGTGTGTACATGTGCTCCTCTTTTGATCCCCTCTTTTGTGTTCTGATCCCCTCTTTTGATAAGGACACTAGTCAGCTTGGATTGGAACCCAGCCTAATGTTGTCATTCCAACAATTACCTTTTTAAAAATCCTATGTCCAAATACAGTCACATTGTGAAGTGCTGGGCATTAGAGCTTCAAAATATTAATTTTGGGTAAGACAATTTAGCCCAAATGTGTAACAATTGATTATAGAACATCATCTACAATTGCTGCTGTGGTAGATAATATTATTAATATTTTCCTCAAATTCCTGACATAGATGATCACCCTTCAACATACATTAAAGTTAGCAGTGGTCATATGACTTCCTCTGATCCAAGAGATGAAAGAAAATTACACTGGAAGTATTTGAACACCAGTGCCTGATTCTTTATGTTCTCTCCCTCTTGCTGCCTTAACCAGTAGATTCCAGGTGGTGAAAGTGAAAATTCTTGTCAACCTGGAAGCTAGGTAAAAAATAACTGAAATCAAAGCCTCATGTCATGTGCAGTGGAGATAGGACATTCTCACTGGTTTTTAAAGCACTGATTCATTTTCATTGTTTTTCACTACAACCTAACCTAGTCTCTCCTGAGCAATAGATCTGCTCTTGCTATCCTAGCCACTCCTGGAATATTTATACTCTCTTTCTCTGCTTAACTTGGACTTTATAAATATATGTATATTTATTAAAATATTTATATTATATTATATTACATTTTAATATATTATACATGTCATAATTTCCTTTATGCTTTCTTTTTGTGACTTGGTTTACATTTGCCCTTAAGGCAGACTTTCTCTTTTATTATCCTCATTTAATTAGAACAGTAGATCAGTGTTTTCCTTTCTGTCATTGTGAATTTTACTTTTTACTTGAGCCTCTGATAATGACTAAAATACCACTCAATTTCCAGTATGGTCATTTTAGGACTCCAGTCATAATTAGTCTAGCAAAAAAATGAATCTAGATATTTTCTGGACTTGGATAATTTCTTCTAATACATTGTAAGAGGTTGCTTTTATTTCTGTCAAAGAAAGCTGACCAAAATACTACCTTCAATCATTAAAACCTTATTTTTTGGCAGAGGTAAGAAGATGCTACCAGATAATTTTAGTATTACCTGCAATGGAGAACCAATAAACAGTGTAAAAGATGAAGCCTACTATTTGTGCTTAATTCATCTATCAGACTCGTTAACAAAATAAAGCTTAATCGTGTTTTCGATAGAAGACACAAACATGATTAGAAGGATTAAAAATAACAAAATGAATAAAAGAATATTAAACAAAGTTAAACCTTAAAAGCAATGTTTTCATATAATAGCCTACAAAAGTAAAATTCTAGTAAAAAGTTCTGAGATAAAGAATCTATAGACCTTGATGCTCAATAGAATTATAGTATGTGTCAAAAACTATGTACAAAAAAATTTCAGTAGGAATCTTTGTGAAGCCAAAACTACAGGATATAAAATATAGAAAGTCACATATAATAATAGGAAATAATACTCCTCTTCTAGTCCAAGACAGATCAAGAATATAAAAATTTCACATGGGAATGGGAGATCTAAATAACAAAGATGAAAAGGTAAAAAATACATACCAAACCCTGTAAGCATAAAGATTTTAACTTTTTTCAACTTTATGTAAAACACTTATAAAAATGGACCCAATAAAAAGAAAAAGAAAAAGAAAAAAAATGGACCCAATAAAAAGTCTCAAAAAATCCTGATACATTTTAAAGACTATTCATATGACATTTTATCAGAGTAAAATAAAACTAGAAGTTAACATAAGCTTAAAATATTTTCATCATGACATTTTTCTTTTCTTTTTTTTTTTCTTGAGTGGGCATCTCTCATATTTATTGATCAAATGGTTGTTAACAACAATAAAATACTGTATAGGGGGGTCAGTGCTCAGTGCACAATCATTAATCCATCTCAAGCCTAATTCTCATCAATCTCCAATCTTCTGAAGCATAACGAACAAGTTCTTACATGGTGAACGAATTCTTACGTAGTGAGTAAGTTCTTAGATGGTGTACAGTACAAGAGCAGTCATCACAGAAACTTTCGGTTTTGATCACGCATTATGAACTATAAACAATCAGGTCAAATATGAATATTTGTTTAATTTTTATACTTGATTTATATGTGGATGCCACATTTCTCCCTTTATTATTATTATTATTATTTTTATTTTTAATAAAATGCTGAAGTGGTAGGTAGATGCAAGATAAAGGTAGAAAACAGTTTAGTGTTATAGGAGAGCAATTGTAGATGATCAGGTGTGTGCCTGTAGACTATGTGTTAATCCAAGCTAGACAAGGGCAATAAAACATCCACGGATGCAGAAGATTTCTCTCAAAGCAGGGGGGATGAGGTTCTGAGCCTCACCACTGTTGATCCCCAATTTCTCACCTGATGGCCCCCCTGCGACTGTGCCTGTCTTAGGTTGTTCCTCCCTTGAGGAATCTTACCCGTCTCTGGCTAACCAGTCATCTTCCGGGGCCATACAGGGAAATGTAAAGTTGGTAAGTGAGAGAG